ATAATACATGCTCAGTCGTGTTTAGAATCGTTTCTTGTGGTTTGGGACATTCGCCTGCGAATGTTACATCGATGTAGAAAGCAGAATTTAAAAATCTTGAAATTTGAAAAAAATAAATTTTTGACAGTTTTGTTTAATCTGCTGTACTTTTTAAAGTGTGCGACTTAAAGCTAAACGAAATTCAGTTCACACTTCTATAAACGATTCTTAATAAGACTGCTGATTTGGATTTGCGCTATTTTCAATTTGAAAAAATTTATTTTTCACAGTTTTGTTTAAACCGCTGTATTTTTTAAAGTGTGCGACTTAAAGCAAAACGAAATTCAGTTCACACATCTATAAACGATTCGTAATAAAACTGCTGATTTGGATTTGTGTTATTTTCAATTTGAAAAAATTCATTTTTGACAGTTTTCTTTAAACTGCTGTATTTTTTAAAGTGTGCGACTTAAAGCAAAACGAAATACATTTCACACAATTACAAACGATTCTTAATAAGACTGCTGATTTGGATTTGCGTTATTTTCAATTTGAAAAAATTCATTTTTGACAATTATGTTTAAACTGCTGTATTTTTTAAAGTGTGCGACTTAAAGCAAAACGAAATTCATTTCACACAACTATAAACGATTCTTAATAAGACTGCTGATTTGGATTTGCGTTATTTTCAATTTGAAAAAATTCATTTTTCTCAGTTTTGTTTAAACTGTTGTATTTTATAAAGTGTGCGACTTAAAGCGAAACGAAATTCAGTTCACACTTCTATAAACGATTTCTAATAAGACTGCTTATTTGGATTTGCGTTATTTTCACTTTGAAAAAATTCATTTTTGACAGTTTTGTTTAAACAGCTGTTTTTTTAAAGTGTGCGACTTAAAGCGAAACGAAATTCAGTTCACACTTTTATAAACGATTTTTAATAAGACTGCTGATTTGGATTTGCGTTATTTTCAATTTGAAAAAAATTCATTTTTGACAGTTTTCTTTAAACTGCTGTATTTTTTAAAGTGTGCGACTTAAAGCAAAACGAAATTCATTTCACACAATTATAAACGATTCTTAATAAGATTGCTGATTTGGATTTGCGTTATTTTCAATTTGAAAAAATTCATTTTTCACAGTTTTGTTTAAACTGCTGTATTTTTTAAAGTGTGCGACTTAAAGCGAAACGAAATTCAGTTCACACTTCTATAAACGATTCTTAATAAGACTGCTGATTTGGATTTGCGCAATTTTCAATTTGAAAAAATTCATTTTTTAATGTTTTGTTTAAACTGCTGTATTTTTTAAAGTGTGCGACTTAAAGCGAAACGAAATTCATTTCACACAACTATAAACGATTCTTAATAAGACTTTTGATTTGGATTTGCGTTATTTTTAATTTGGTGAAAAACTTGAACTTTTGATTTTTCGACTGACCACGCGAGTTATCGATGTACTATCATTTTCGGTATTATAAACTGTATTCTTAAAGTCAGCTGTCAGATTCACATTAATATATTTTAAAAACACATTTTCAAGTGCGTTTAAAGTCTTTAAGCGAAGATAGATCGATTTCGATGTTGAAGCGAAAAATTTAAAAAGTGACTATTTTTTATTAATTTAAAATTTATGCTTAGTCGTATTTTGAATTGATTGTTATTGGTAAGAACATTGCAATCGAAAATATATTAATGGAAATAGCAGAATTCGAAATTTGATATTTGAAGTTTAACTGACAGTTTTCTTTAAATTACTGTAATTTTTAAAGCGTACAATTAAAGCTAAACGAAAATTTCTCACAATTAGAAACGATTTAATAATACTGCGTATTCGGATTTGCTTTATTTTAATTTGGGTCACAATTTTAAATTTCGATTTTTACATTGACGAGTCTTGCGATCGGAATGCTGTCGTTTATCGTATTAAAAAGTTAATTCTTCAAATTATGGTGCCAATTTACGTTAATTATTAAAGACACGGCATTTCCAAGTGCGACTAAAAATCTCTAATAAGCGAAGATAGATCAATGTCGATTTCGAAGCGAAATATTTAAAAAGTGACCAACTTTAAGATTTTCAATTCCTATGCTTAGTCGTATTTAGAATCGATATTTATGTTTAGAATATTTTCAATTGAAAAATATCTTTATAGATAGATAGAAATTTATTGCTTGGGGATTAAATTTTTTTTTAAAGAGCGTTTGCAACTTATACCTAAAACTTACATTTTTCAATTATTTGACCTACGGCAATGTTGGACGTTCTTTTACTTCCAATTTTTGTTAACTTTTTAACATGCAGCTGCTCCCACGTGCACTTAAATTATTTTCATTTCATTTCCAGTCTGTAATCATTATTTTCCAAATAGTGTTTGTACCATTATTATATTCCGATTTATCATATTCCTCAAGAACTAAAATCTTACCAAGAAATTCTTTTTTTGATTTAATAAACAATTCTCGATTCGCTCTTTAGCGCAATTCCTTTACCATATAAGAGTCCACTCCTAACATTCTCAGATTTCGATCCTTTCCAGTATCCTAAAACCGTCCATATTAACGCATCGTAATCTCCTCTTAGATAATGCGTATTTTAGTGTTCTTTGAAATATTTAAATCCTTTAAATTTTAATTGAAAAATATCTTTATGGAAAAAGCAGAATTCGAAAATCTTGAAATTTGACAAGAATCAACTTGGACAGTTTTCTTTAAATGTATTTTTTAAAGCGTACAACTACAAGCAAAACGAAAATCACTTCCCACAATTAGAAACAATATTAAATAATACTGCGTAATCGGATTTGCTTTATTTTAAAGTTGGGTCACAATTTTAAATTTCGATTTTTACATTGACGAGGCTTGCGATTGAAATGCTGTCGTTTTTCGTATGAAAAAATTAATTTTATAAACTCAGGTGCCACATTTACGTTAATATATTAAAGATATGATTTTTCCAAGTGCGAATAAAAATCTTTAAGCGAAATTTAAGAAAAATTTGAAAAGTGTCAAATTTTAGGATATTTAAAATTTACATGCTCAGTCATGTTCAAAATTTATTCCTATTGTTTAGAATATTCCTAATTGAAAAATATATATATGGAAAATGCAGAAGTCGAAAATTATGAAAATTGAAGAAAATCAACTTTGACAATTTTCTTTAAGTTACTGTATTTTCTAGAGCGTACAACTACAAGCGAAACGAAAATCACTTTAGATACATAATAAAAATTCGATGAATTGAAATTATGTCGAGACATAATTAAAATTCGATGAATTGAAATTATGTGGAGGCATAATAAAAATACGATGAATTAAAATTATGTCGAGACATAATAATAATTTAAGAAGTGCACAGACAAGAAAATAGAGAGACCTTTGAGGGAATACTTGGCTTTAAAATCACGTATGAGCTGTTTACTAACACCTAATATTAAACGTTTTAGTTGTTCACAATCAAATAACGATAGTTTGCATTATGAATCTGGCGATGCAAAAGCTTGCTTCTCGAGTAAAATGCTTGCAGAACTTTAGAATTTATTTGATGATTAGATACCCAATCTTTATGTATTATGTTAGTCGATTGCTTTATTTTAGGATTTTTTTTTAAAGATAAAATATTTCTTTTGTCTAATATTTTTAGATTAATAGCATAAATGTGCAAAACGAATATGTTATTTTATGTTTCTTTTGTTTATTTTTTGTTTATAAAGCTGTGTAAAGGAGAATTCTAATTGTAAATAAAGAAAAAACTAATTTATAATAGAGCAATTGTAGAAAATAGAAAATGATTATTAATAATATATTAATTTTTGCTTATATGAGTTTAACATTTGATCTTTATAATTCTTTATTAGACATATTAAGCTTTATATTTTAATCATTATCAATTTTTTTATTTACTAAAATTTCTCTATTTCCAACTAGTTTTTTTTTTCATTAACAGTTAGAATTTTCTTTACACAGCTTTATAAACAAAAGATAAAAGAAAAACAGAATATATATATTATTAATAATATTTATTTATTGCTTATATAAGCAATAAATAATATATATAATAATATATACATATAATTGTTATTTTTTGCACCGTTGTGGGCTATCGTGATAGGGAAGCGTTATTTTTATTTTAATTCGCCGAAATTTTATTATGTACATAATTTTAATATGCCGAATTTTCGTAATGTACATAATTTTAATTCACCGAAATTTTAATTTTCTTATTTCTATTATGTACACAATTTTTATTTTATGAATTTCTATTATGTTCATAATTTTAATTTGTCGAATTTCTGTTATGTACATAATTTTATTTCTGAAGTTTTTTTACGTACATAATTTTAATTTTCAAATTTCTATTATGTACTTAATTTTAATTCATTGAATTTCTAATTTCTATTAAGTACATAATTTTAATTCACCGTATTTCTTTTATCTAAATAATTTTAATTTGCCCAATTTCTATTATGTATATATAATTTTAATTTGTCGTACATCTTTTATGTAAATAATTTTAATTCGCTGAATTTCTATATGTACATAATTTTATTCTTGAATTTTTACTATGTACAGTACATAAGTATTCTTGAATTTCTATTATGCGTTATAATTTAATAATTTGTGTGGCGCGCGCGAAACGCGCGCTTGTGTTATCTAGTCTGTCAAAAAATACAGATGTGATGACGCGCCGCTTCGTTTCTCCAATTGTTTTCGCGATTTTTCAATTTTATTTCTCACAGTTAACGAAAAATTGTATATATTTACAAAAATGTATCGCCTCTTTTTCTGTATTTTAATTTAAATAATAATAATGATAATTAATTTTATCTATCAAAAAATACAGATGTGATGACATTTCGCTCCTCCGATCGTTTTCGCGATTTTTCATTTTTATTTCCCACAAGTTTCCGAAAAATTGTATATATTTTCAAAAATGTATCGCCTCTTCTGTATTTTAATTAAAATAATAATAATTATTATTTTGAAATTGCAGGTATGGCCACTTTTGGTGCGTGGCTCCTTCTCTACATATATATCTAGCCATCGGTGCAAGGTGCGAAATTTTGGACAAACAATGTCCGCGCCGTCGTGGAGATGACCGACTCGCTCGTCGGCGAGTGACGAAGTCCGGTGTCAAAATGTGATTGACACTCGCGCGCGACGAGTTTCTGTCAACATATTCCATTCTGGATCTCCGCGAGACGAAGAGGAATATACATATAATCCGACAATACGTAAAAAGCCATCAATGGCGGTGACGGCGAACTCCTTCGATACCTGGCTCAGCAAGAAGCTGCAAGAGCTCAACACGGACGAGGGTGTTTTCGGTACGTACATCAAGGGCATCCTCGAGAGCGACGAGTCGCAGGACGAGAAAACCGAGGCGCTCGAGAGCATACTCTCCGGAATAACGGTGAGCTGGAATTACGCCTATGTTTTGGAGGTTAGGAATGCGAGCGGGCGTTTTGTCAGCCGGTCCAAAATAGACCCGAGGTCATCCCGAAAGTACGCGTTTTTCTTCCGCACCCGCGCCTCTCCAGCGATCTCGAGTTGCGCGCGCGTATTTCGCGATTGATCCATCTCGCCGTGTCAATCTCCTTTATTGAAAAAGTAGAGTCGGAACATTCGTGGAAAACGCGAGATTGCGATAAAAATCGTGTATGGATTTTGAATAAAATTGTTTAATTGATTTTCTCCATGATTTTAAAACTTTTGACTCTCTCTTTCTCTCTCAGAGAATTGTATTTTGAACATTTATTATTGCTTTTTTTATGCTTACATGAGATTGCGCAATGTCTGTTGCAATATAGAGCTTTATTTTGTTACAGGAGGATAATATTAATAAACATGTAGCAGAAATCTTAAGTGCATGGACAGAATGGTTGCCAGCTAAAGATATAGCTGCAGCATCTCTACCAACGGAAGATGTTGATGTCAGATTGGCTAAGATGTTGGAATCGCAGAGTCTACCTACAACGACGCAAAGAAGTTATACAGAGGAAGAGAGACGAATACGGGAAGCTATACTAGCACAGTATAGTCAAATGTCTGATGAGGAGAATAGCGAAGGAGAGAATAGAGAAGAGGATGGAGCAAGCGGTGGAGACTGTGGAATTGAAAAGAATTTGAATGCAGCGACTATTGTACAACAAGAAAGAGAAAAGAGAGAAAAAGCCAAGCTTGAAAGCCAGAAAAAGAAAGAGAAAGATAAAGAAGACAGGTAACAAAATGATTGTAGCATTATATTCAATAAATATGTTTGTGCCTATTATGTATAGCATAATAAAATTGATAAATTTTCTTTATCTTTCAGAGAAAAGCAAAAACAATTGAAAGAAGAGAAGAAAGAAAAAGGAAAACTCAAAAAGGAGAAAGACGAAGGTAGCATCGAAACAAAAGCAATGCAAGATTTACCTCAAAATTAACGAATACATATATGCTGCTGTATTCGTATACGTCTATCTTTATGTCGTGCATGCAACGATCTCCGACAGTTATTTAAGTCATCCATCTTATATTTCATTAGAACGATATGTATGTAGTATTCATGTCGTTAGAAGACGCATTTGTAGTCTCAATATGAAACGCATTCATCACAAAAAGATATCTTCTATGATATAATATTGGATCATCCTGTGCCTTCTGTCTAAAACATCTCATGCGAAAGGTTTGTTACTTATACTCCTTACTATCCTTTTTTATTATTTTTTAACAATAATTTTGTAATTTGCATTCAGAACTTTCCCCATGCCATATATAATATTGTTGCTACAAAAATTTAATAGTTTCACTATTAAATGCAAAACGTAATCCATGTATATTCAAGTTCTGAATACAATGTCATTTTCGTCTCTTGATACGCTTAGCGCATTGTGTTATATCTTATACGAATTATGTATTTAATATGTTAAATAAACTATTTAAATCGCTGATATGATATTGAAATATTTAATTTAGGGAATATTTAATATTATTAAAAATTCTTAATACTACATGGAATAAGGAATATAAGTCCTGTAGGGAAGGATGTAATGCGGGGATGATATATTTGCGAGACGTGCTCATTGCGTTTGTGTATATATTTTTTTATTAGTATATATTTACACACAAGATGATATACTGAGTCGAAACTGAGTCATCTTGGTATTGCATTAATAATGAAAGACAAACGCAGTAAGATAAAAACAAACAAACAAATGATACAAAAGATGATGATGCTTCAGTATCGTATCATTACATACATATATACTAATGTCAATTATAATAATCATTTATTATTTAGCAATTCTCTCTTTGCTATAATTAAGTCTGGGCAAAAATTGACGAACTCGCACTTATTAACGTTTATAACAAGACATCCGCAGTTGAACGCCAAATTACAAATCACTGTGAATCCTTCGCTCTCATTTATCAGAGTAGGTTCTTCTTCCCCCCTCCCCTTCCCTTTCCCTTAGATAGTTTTAATTATCCGCGTGATCTGTTACCCCGAGATCTGTTTTCCGCCTTCAGAGGCAGAATCGCAGAGCAACTTTCGTCGCGCATCGGCGTCTAATAATCTAAAACGACTCTTCGTCATCCGATTCCCGTTTGGGAATCCGTTTTACGTATCGACGAGCTTCGCAAATAAGAGACGAATCTCTCTCGCATCTATTACCTAACGAAAAACTTACTATCGCGTAAACGCGTAACTCTATGATTGTCCTACTGGAGGATGATCTACGAGGCCGTCGCGACGATGATTCTCCGCGATGAACATCATTCAGGGATATCTTCTTGGATAAGGATGTGTTTAATCCATCGCGAGAAGGGGAAAAAAGAGTTACGCACGCACACGCATTACACTAATTTAATTCGATAGCGTCTAATCGCGTCGTTAAAACTCGATAATTAGTTACACACTGACCTAAACGGATACACGCCGCGTGGAGGAGCATCCTTTTTTTACTGGAAAATCGGAGAGAATTCTCGATCTCTTTCGCATAATTCTTCCTCTCCATCGTATTCGAGCGAGATGTGTGTATACGTTCGGAGCACGTTCGTTACATCCTGGACTAGAAAAAGCGACTGACTCTTTTCCGTCCGCGGGAACGATGTTGAAAAATCATCCCGAAATACGGCAATACAAATCTATTCCTTCGTAAATGACGAATTGACCAGATTACAAAGTCAAGTAACTTACAGTTTTTTGACGAACACGAGTTTTCACCTCCAATTCGCTGTTTCTAGGATGATATCTAACAACATGCTTTGCCTTTTTATTTTATTAATTTTTTAAATATATTTTTTTGTAATCCCGATTTTGCTAACGTCAGTTAACTTCAATTGCAGCTTATATCGATTCTTTGTCTCTTCCCAGAGACAAAGACCTACTTGGCCTGTATCCAAGTTAACCGACACTGAACAAAAACATAAGATTATTAGCGCATTTTTCGCTACACGAACATACTTCTCTTATGTTTCTTTTAGGCACGACACATGCGTGCCGAGCGCGCGTGGGTCGGTATGTGTGATGATACATGTTACGCAGATTACACAACGTTTCTTTTTTTTATACACATACATATAATTTGATCCCGCTGTATACAATAGTGAACACAACTAAAAACTTAAGACTGTACAATTGAACAGTGTTTTTTGAGGGTGGAGAGACTCCGTAGATGACGAAGCGCGTATTCTCTCTCCGCGTTTAATTATATCCTCTATGCATCCTAGACTAAACTCATTTTTCGCTTTTTTTGCATGATTTTTCTCTTGACGTGCAATGGTATATATTTTATAATGATAAATATATGTATAACCGCGCGTATGTCACACACACACACACACTCTCTTTCTCTCAGACATTTATTCGCTCCCGTTAATTCTGAAGATGAAATCTCTAATGTAGAACACGCACGCATGCACGCAGCGTCGTTACATATCTTCATCTTAACGCTCCTGGCTTCTCGTTGATTATGTTGGAAATGTGACGTTAGAGGCGAACAACACACGCTAAAAATTGTTGGATGCCATTTCGAAATAAAAAGATATTTCGATGAAACAACACTTCAGCAGTGTGCTCTAAAGCCATCTGAAGTAGCATTTCATCTAAATATCTTTTCATTTAAAAATGGCATCTAAGAATTTTCAGCGTGTGCTATCTCGCCTCTGACGTCACACTAACATGACCGCGACGAAGTCTCAGGAGCGTTAATAATTAATTTGATACACTCTGATAAAAATCGCCGCCTCATAGACGCTCGTCAATTCTTCCTTTCTTTTTCTTTTTGCCTGGAGTAATCGAACGAAATGCTCGCCCGAGATTTTTTTCGTGATGGTCGAGAGCGACTACTACGAAAAGCCGCACAAATCGTGAAAATCGTATGTGTGTAATACGTAATATTATATATAATATATATGTATATATGCGCTACTTCGTCAGTCGTTCGTTCGGGCAGATTCGCCATACGAATTATATTTTTATGTATATGTAATTCTTAATGTAATATATCCTCCGCTCCGTCTTTATTGGCCATTCGCCGATGATGTCGCGCGATACCGCTATGATTGGTACGATATTAGTTTGTTTCTAAAGTTCTTGGGCTCTAAAATGAACTTTGCGTGACAAATCCGATTTCATTCGTTTCGATTTATTAGCGTGAGACGTTCGAAAACTTACCGCGAATCAAGCGCTTCGTAAAAGGAACTAAACGACGAGTTCGTTAAAATGAAATGAAGCGATATCGATTTGGGGAACGAATTGAATTATATTTAGGAACAATTTCGCTCTTTCCGTTTGTTAGCAATGTAAAATAATGATTCGTTTCAGTCTCTTGCACGTGATCGTAATTTACGAATATCGATGTATTCATTCATGTGTTCTTGTTTCAATAATTACATTTGACCATAGTAACACGTAAAACACGATAATTTAATAGGATCTTCATTATGGTATCATACCATATAATAAAATAGAATTAAGATTCAATCGAGGAAAAGACAGAGAGAGAGACGTGAAAAAATTGAAGATACATCGTTTCGAGATGAAAACTCGAAAACGGCAAAAACAGGGCGCGTCTCACGTTTTTAATCATAACGATATCATTATTAATAACATTATTAGTTCGAGAATCTTGCATTCACTTTGCGAAACTTTAGAATGGGTACGGGCACATCGAACAATTACCACGTCTAAAAAGTAGCCTAATGTTACGATACTCTATACAATATAATTTTTTCGTCAAATCCTCTGCATATCGCGAAATGCTCGTGATTTCGAAAGGGGTTCGCATCAAATTACAAATCGCTAATCAATGACGGAAAGCCACAAGTAATATATAAATAAGTAATAAAGCGCGAAGGCGGCGAAGAGGCGTCTCGCATTAATAGATTTAATTAATTCTTGATACAATAAAGTGCGTGTTACAATATCGCGCGAATGATTAATATAATGACAACAGAAGAGCGGTGTGTTGTAAGAAATGATTGAAAAATTATCGGGCCTCTTTTTTATCAAGTACTTTGTATAAAGCGAACTAGCACGTTGCCGTTCCTGGGATTTAAAATACGCGCAATTACAATCTGTACATGTCTACGCGTGTATGTAAGTATGTTAATTCTGCCATTATCGACGATTTTCCTCATTATTCCTCAGTATGCAGCTATATCTTTGCGATAATAGTAGCGATATAGCGATTATTACAGATATAATAAGAAAATAATGATTAATAGTAAATTGAAATTATTATATTAGCGATCGTTACTTCTTAATATCAGAGAGATCTAAGTAAGACAGTGGTAGTTTAATATCACAATAAGACTACTCAGGCCTCGTTAAACTGGGGCATGCTTCACGTATTAATGTTACTCCTCGCCTTGACGCTTCGTTATTAATCGCGACCCTGTGTTGGCGACACAGGTCGACTCACAGATCTTCGGCGCGACCGTAATTCGATGGTGATCCCGACGTTATTTTGCAACGTCAGGCGAATCGTTGTGTCGACATTTGTTTCGCTTTTCTACGCGACGATACATATATCGATGATATGCGCATCGTATCGCGTCGCTTATATTCGCGTAATTCATTTAAAGTATATTATGCGCTTCTAAACGATTTTCTCTTTCACTTTGCGCGAATTTTTTTTATCCGACATCTGACGAATCGTTCGCGGGTTCGTCGACAAACTACGCATCCTGCGAATATTTTTTGTAATTTTTTTTGTTAATATCTATGACCGAGATTTTATCACCCGTTAAACTAATTTTATCACCTCGTGCACTTTACACGTGCGCGCGAGATAAACGAATCAGCTAAATACGATGGTCCGTGTTAAAACGTAACCGGTATACATTAATAATTGCCGGTATCCTCGCTGTGAGCAGGAAAATCTACGTTTTCGCGAGTAACTACGATAACGCGCGCGTGAGTTTGTTACGTTTACCTGAGTGACATCGTCTCAATGTCCCCCAAAAACAACGCGCGAATCGATCGCTATATTGCTCGTCATTCGGCATGCCCGCGGTACTCTTCTCTCCCATCGTCAGATCGTCATTTTGGCCTCATAGCTCGATACATGCCGAGACTAGCGATTCTACGTGTCTAGCCCGTTTGGCATCGGGGAACGCTAATGTCAGAAATCGGCCAGCCAGTTCTAGACGCGCCCTCCGTTCAAATCGCGCTTGCCCTTGATATACGTCGAAACAACATCTACATGTCGCGCATCGATGCTGAAGAACGAGGTTGCTAGTTCGCATCAGCGTGCGAATTAGCGCGTTTAGAAGTGGCTGGCGCAAACCCGACTTCACAATATCGGCGGCAGAAACGTGCCTGAGTCATCGAGATTCGGATCCAGACTCGCGACGATATCGCCGGTCGATGCGTGCCTCGATGTCGCCGTCTGCGTACTACTCGCTAGGGCGTGACTGCTCGCGCTGCCGTTCAACTTGCTCTTCACCATCAGACCGCCGCCGTTGTCGGTGCCGTCGGTGCCGGTCGAGACCTTCTGAACGTACTTGCTACGACTCTTGTACAATCGGTACATCGTATAGGGCGGGTCTTCCATCGTTGTTGCTCGTTGCCGCGGCGCGCTCACCGTCACGCTCACCGTTTGCGGCAAGTGCGCAGATTCCCGCGACGTCTCGACGCTCGTCGTCGTCGTGTTCGCGCTCACGTTCACCGTCGACGAGGCTATCGCCGACGACGACGAGCTTACGTGCGAAGAGGACGACGAAGTCAGCCACTCGTGACGCATCGCCTCGTCGGGGGTCATGCGTTTCTTTGGATCCCACCTGATGATGTGAAAATAGAAAATTTAAGAAACTTAGGAAAAGGAATAAATATAATATAGTCCATATATATAATATATAATATATAAGTACATATATTTAATATTTCCGGGATGTATAGAAATTTTGGCATAATATGCGTGAAAACACTGCATATTGTAGACTTACTCGAGGCATCTGCTAACGAAGTTTACGAATAGCATGTCGGAACACCGAAGAGCCATTGAGAGGTTCTTGCTACCTGCCCATCTCTTTTTGCCTTTGCTATTTGTCACGCATCGCGGACTCCCTTTCTGATCTGTAATCATTTTACAGTCGATTCTTTGAGAGTGTTACGCCGTACACGCCCACTTCTATCATTAGGAACACTCCAAGTCCCGACGTTATAGTACTCGTTATAGCGCCACGAGCTTACCGAAGAAGAGCCTGCGACGAGTCGCATGACTGATAATGTGCTCTGGCGGCAGGCCGAGGACCTCCATGATACAGGCGAGCTGCTCTATCTCGTCCTCGCCCGGAAACAGCGGATATCCCGTGTATAACTCGGCCAAGATACAGCCCAGACTCCACATATCGATCGGCGTGCCGTAGGGAAGACCAAGAATCACTTCTGGACTCCTGTAAAACCTCGACTGTATGTACGTGTAGACGCGCTGATGACTGTAACACGAGGAACCGAAATCGATGACTTTGATGGAGCTGCTACCCCGTTGTTTCAGCAGCACGTTCTCCTGCAACGATAACAGACAACGCATATGAGAGAGGAAAAACTCGGAATGAAGGGGCAAATGTCATACATCCGTATAAAACCTACCGGCTTTAAATCGCAGTGAATGATGTTTTCTCGGTAGAGCAGTCTCAGGCAACTAATTAGTGAGTTGGCAAAACGGCGAATTAGACTCAGACTAAATCCTTGATAACTATTCTTTTTGATTAGCTCGTACAGGTTCAAGCTGTAACGAAGAGAGAGAGACGACCGTTTTATTTTATTCATCCGGTTTAATAAACCCGGTTTTAATATACGCCAAAGAGATCTGACTCATCGTTATCTCGCTTGCAATCGCTCACCTCATTAGTTCGAAGCTGATGCATAGGTGATTTCTGAAATAAAAATATTCTAGCATGTGTATCACATTGTGTTGCGAGTTCGCCTCCAGATCCTTCTTCCTGAGATGTTCCAAGATCCTCACCTCGATGAGAGCCTGATGATGGAATCTCTTTTTGTTCCTGCAAGAAACAAAAGTGAAAGTCGCACGCTGTTTAAATAAAGAAAACGACACTGAAAGCGAATGGAAAAATGCCGGATGTAATAACACATTCGTGCATTACGCGGAATTTTCTCGGATAATAGCTTGCAGTGAGTCACAACTCGCGAGATGACTGTGTACTTGCATTTCCGCGTACCTGATAATCTTGATGGCGATGTGCTGTCCGGTTTTATGATCCAGCGCTCGAATCACCTGACCGAAGCTTCCCTTGCCGATCACCTCCAGAATCTCGTATCTAAGAAGAAAAAAATGCACATACAAACTTTCGATAATTTACTCGCGCGAGAAAATGGATAGCAATAAAGTACAATATGCAAAGTATTAAAAAAATATTGGACGCATGCAGATTATTTATTGCACGCGAGAAAACTCATCGTAAACTCTTCTATTTTTCACCGCGTTTCGTGCAATACATCGCATATATTTGAATGCGAAATTCACTAGACGTAGTTCTCAACACCGCAATTTCTCCACGCGAGAGTAACGACGGAATTGCAAGAACGCGCGCAATTGTGAGATTCCAGATCTGCCTGGGCGAGAGATCTCGCCGAACAAATGGCAACAATAACGATTAAGAGGAAGAGAGGAAGAAAAATCGCGCGCTAACGGAAGAGGATAATTACATGTAAAGGTAGATCGCGCTCACCTATAGGAGATGTGATCGTGCAGGACCTTGTTGTAGCTGCCGTTCTCGTCGTCGTAGCCACCGTTCTGGGAGGAGACCTCCTCGCCGTGAATTTTGTGGGCCGACAGACCCAGATACCAGATCTCCGAGTACTTCTCGATCTCGGCGCGCTCGAATTCTGTCAGTCTGGAGCCGTAATACTTCACTGCTTCCTGAGGCGTCATTGGCAGTCTCCCGGCTATTTTTTTCCGAAGCAAAAACATGTATCAAATGACTGTGTATACTTCAGGAATTCACGAGAATGTTATGTAAGTCTATCAGTTTCGCTCAAATTTTTTTTCTGTTAGAATATATTAGAACGAGTATGTTTATTTCATTTTCTTTAATTAATCTTAATTACAGAAAAATATTTAAAACCTCTATAAAAGATTATGTATACACAAAGAGAATTTTTTTTCTTAGAATTTACCCTGAAAATCATTGGAAGAATTTTATGAAAGTTTTTCTGATTAATATTTACCATAATAAAAAATATTAATATCTACCACAATAAGATATAAAATATGTTCGATTAATTTTACTTTAGTAAAAATTACTATGTACATATTAATATTTTTTATTTTGTATTGTCCCACGATTACCATGATTTCAGGATTAAATTCTAAGGGAAAATTCTCTCTCTCTCTCTTTCTCTCCCCGTGTATATACATATGCATTTATATTAAATTGTGTATTTAGAGACGTTTATTCAATTGCGAAATATATAAATTAAAAACCACTTTTTTGGAAAATATGAACATTCTCTAATTAGTTTTGCACCTACAAAGACTTTATAAAATTTCTAATTTTCATTAAATTCTGCAGATTTTTAAATTAAATTTTCTGTTAATATATTTTAACGAGCCTGTGTATGAGAGACTGAAATGTTTTTATTCGTTCGCGGAATACGGATTGAGAGAACAGTTTTCTCTCCGAGAAATATGAATAATATTCTTCGTATATGTGCCATAAGTCTTGCGTGTAATTCGCGTCACCGTTATAACGCTTTGCATTTTCAAATATCCGCTTCTTAAATATTCGTTCGATCAACGACGCAAATTTAAATGACAGCGCGTTTCCCATATAAGGGTTCCGCGCGATTCTCATGTAATCATAGCGTTCTCACGTACCGTATACTTCGGGAGAAGTAGCGCTGATGGGTTCGTGCAGCGGCATACTGTGAATGTTGTTGCTCGTGTTGTTGGAGTTATTGGCATTGTTGTTGTCCGATTTATCCACCCGGGTTGGCTTGGTGTTGAAGAAAGACGGGTTCTTCAATTCGAATTTCTGAAACAAAAGGGAAATTTTCCTTTTAGCATAAAAGCCGTCGAAATTACACGTGTTATGAAAATTTGTAACGTCGTTGCACCTCTGCGAACTCTCGTAAAACTCGAGGATTTATTTACCCACGTGTGTTTTGTCGCGGCAATGTTTTACAATCAACGAGTATCTCAAGGGAATAGATGACCAACGTTATACTCGTCGTAAATTCTTGTGCGAAATGTCAACAACAAAATGTTAATGACAGGAGATGGATCGTTAATCTCGCGATATCTATCCTAAAATTAAAACATAAAATTAATTATTTCATATACGTATAGAAATTTTGAACAAATAGAAGGAAAACATTCCAGGAAATTTTCACCTAACGAGAGTCGTTTCCAAATTCACGAGAAAGTCTCAGCCGCGAATATCTTGCGCGACATTCGATATATTATTATATATCAATGTAACCACCAGCCATTATTTCTCGAAGTACCTTCCGTACGTTTCACCGCAATTTTATCGACATAAGAGAAAATAACAGCGCAATTATCCCGCGTTCAATTTTCGCGTTAAAATTGCCCGAATCGCTTTTGTGGCGGCGACGCTTTTTTCTCGACGTGAAAGTGGTGCGCGATGCGGTATAATCTCTCAAAGAAAGTAGAACACGAGCACAGAGTGCGAGAACGTGCATCGGGCATCGAGTGTATACTGACCCCTCCGATTTAACAAGTTTAATGACACCGAAGGAGAAGAGTGATCCGGACAATTATTTCTTCGCCGCGCGAAAGAAAGAAGTCTGTCGTTGCAACTTCGTCGGCTTGAAGAAGCGACGCCTTCTTTCCGTACCAAGGGCAGTCACCGGTCGCAAATGCATCTCGAATGACAATCAGCCTTCGCTGTTGTGTTCACGCGCCAGGGTCTCCGCTCCTTCATTGGATTTCCTCGCGCGTCCTTCCGCCGATGTTAAATATTTATACGACCGAACGCGTCGGCGATCGATCTCGGATGATGATGCCTGTTGCCGGTAGCAAGCACATCCGGCGCCAGGAAATATATATTTATGAAAAATATATCTTAGCATATATGTGAGTCTACAGAGGAACATAAACCTTTGCAAAATAACGAGGGGATAAATTATCGCGATGTACTCTGTAGACGAAGAGATCAAATATTCCAGAAAGGTCGTAAAATATTTTATCAGACAATTCTTTCTGCATTTCTTTTCTAGGTATTGAATCTACGCGTAATAAAAAAAAACATATCGAAAAAAGAACGGTGAGTTTTTATTTATTCATAAATAATAGAGAGTATACACGTGTGTATGTGGAAATTTCCGCAGCATTTAAATGTCTCCCGGGAGCAGACACCTTGCGAAGCTAATATCAAGCTCACCTCGCTCCAGATGTAGTTCTGTTAGCGATATTTATGCGCAGTATTACGAGAAAGTATCGAAATAACCGCTGCACTCCGCAGTGAATACTCAATTACTCTCGCATAACGTTCCATCGCTGACGTTTACCTTCGCGAATGTACATCAACATCGGCAGATGTATAATTTTCCACACGCGAAACATGCCGAAGCCCATTGTCGAACACGTATACATGCATTGGACATCATGATTACTCCATCGCAATTAATCTCGATCACTCTAGATCTCTTCACGAAAGCGTTTGATCTATGTCCTATACGAAAGGCGCGAGTAAACGACAAAGAACGACGCGATTTAGCGTCAATTGATCGGCTTGACGGCAATTAAGGCCAGACGAATGTAGGCATAAATCCTCATTAAAGGGTCGCCAGACGGTTCACGAATGCTCTCTCACGCGTCCTTGTTGTCTCTTCTAGTTCTACATTACTTCGCATCTACGCGATTGCATTGACCGTCGATTTGATCCTAAACCGTCGCGTAGTGCATTAATTAAGCTATGTTCTCACTAGAGCATCAACGAGCAACTTTTCGTTAATGTTCAACTTTCTTAAAAAAAATTGCTGGTTGTGCCAAAAGTTTCGTAAGCTGCATCCTCATTGAAGCAACTACAAGCAACTTTTTGTTAATGTTCCATGTTTCTTAAAAGTTGCTAGTTGTTACTAAATGTTTCGAAATAATGTGATAAAAATATGTCAACTTGCAACAACACTGTCCATACTGAAGCAACATTATTACAGGAACATTTGGGTTTTGATTCTATTCCCATTTTAACCGCGACAGTATCACTGAAAATTGAAGGTCCACATTGAAGAAACATTTCTTCCTTTAACGCTTGTTGCTTTTCTTTTATCTTTGAATAGAAACACGCAGCTAACTTTTAATGTTGGCATCAGAAACAGTAAGGAACTTTAAGAAACTTTCGGCAACAACTAGCAACTTTTTTAAGAAACATGGAACATCAACAACAAGTTGCTGGTTGTTGCTCCAGTGAGGACGCAGCTTTACGTTAATCGCGATAGAAATGTGATTTGCGATTTAATTTCGCGCGCGGTAAAAAAAACTTGGACATTAAAAATTCAGGTCTGGAAATGAATCGACTCGTCGCGGCTCTCTCTGACCTGGCGTAATGAAAAATTATTATCGGCCATCCGTTGCATGGCTCGGACCGGCGATACGCGGATGAGTTTCATGCAGAACGAGGGAGATCGCGGCATAAATAAAAAGTCACGAGAGTGAATAACCGTGCGGTCCGGAGGCCGCTCGTATAAATTGTAATCTTACATTTATCCCCCTTCCCGGTTTCTCTCTCTCTCTCTCGCCTTCCTCCCTGTGCCTGATCGATCACAGCCTCTCGCGCTTCTCCACTTCGTCGCTCGACGGAGACTTTTCGCTGCCAAGCCACGACGCACGCATAAATAACACGCACGAAAATCGCGCCGCCAAAATTCACGTAATGAATCCGCCGAAGTTCGACCCTCGGAGATACGCCAACAACGGGAGACGGAGAAGAAACAGCCTTGCACAATAAATGCGACATTGTTCCGCGGCGCGACTTGAAAATAGATCGGTCGGTTTTCAGGAGAGCGAGATCAACTATATAAATATGCGGGAAGGGAAAAGGAGGAGAGAAATTCATCCAAGGACGCGAGAGAGCGAGCGCGGCCAATAACCGTGTATTTCTATCTACCGATCGCGCGCAGATAGGCATCGCGCACAATAATTCCCCACATCTCTCTTTCTGTTATGTATGCAGTTTACCTTGTGACATCTCCCGCGGCCGCCTTTCTAATACCTATGCGCGCGCCAACGCAGAAACTGCAGCTGCTCCTCGCGATTGCATACATATAAAGTCCAACAAGTACTTACGCACGGTATTTAGATACGTGGGACTCTTTCGCGGAGAGCCACGTGGGCGGTTGGTATCTCGGTACATATGTATATATCGGAAGCAAACGTCACTCGGCCACGTGCGTGGTGTGTTCAGCGCACAGGAGAGGAGGAGAGCTCATTAACCCGCGTGCAATTGGAGCGCGCGTGTGTTGTTAAGCGCCTTGAAAGCGACTTAAACGGACGGCGGATACACACAAACAATAGTGCAGCGGTGCGTTTTCACCGCACGCTCAAACGCTAATTGTGCTTGCGATGCATCGTGCATACATCGCGCGTGCGTCATTGTATCGCACTTTCTCTTATGGATTTTTCCAATTTTCCTCGAGAGAACAATTAGGGACTCGCGACGCGAATTCAATTGCAGAAGTATAAACGTGCGGATGATAAATTTTCTTGCCACAGCTACGGCTTTTAACTGACTCCTAATACGATATACGTACACCCTGTACATAATGTGTGTATATTAGTAGCGGGATAAATAGAGATAAACAGGAAGTTTGCGTGAAAACCGCTATAGATACGCGTATCAACATGTGTCATCCACCCGCGAATCGCGCGGGTTTGCAAAAGCGTCAGCCGTATATTTGTTTCATTCAGCAAATAATTCAAATGGGTAAAGCGCGATAGAGGTAAAAGCGATGCGATTCGAAATCACTTGCGTATACCGAGAGAAACCTTCCGGTTGAAGTCACTCGGTATTCGCACATTGTGATGTTATATAGCTCGACGAAACATATATACAATACAAAATAACTCTCATTCAATTATCATTTCCAAAGAGGATCTCGCACGTGCCGCGAACAACTGTATGCTTTCTCTCCCTCCTTCGTTACTTGCCGAATGTGGTTCATTAAAACTTTCGGTTGGTCGATGTTTCGCTCAAACAAGTCAACGTTCAGTTGACGCCGCGTATTCGAAATCTCTCTAGTGGAACAAATTCGTATCAATTAATTCCAATTACATGAAACCAAGACAGATCGGCTAAAGAGATTGACAAATTGGCGCCGTTCGCTGTTTCACCATGCGAGAGAGTGTCATACACGCTCCGAGATATTTCATAGAAAATGTATTTCTCAGTTGAAAACATGAATTCTAAAAAAAAAATATTTTTATTTCTTCCCAAAACGCATTAATTTTACTTCGTATAAATTGTAATGTAAATAGATATTTTGATTGCAATTTAATGCAAATTTATTTCCAGGCAAAAAGAAGGATACTCTCTCTGACAGAAAATCTAGTCGATCTAATCAAATCGAAGTGAGTGCAATTTTATGAACGGTTAAAAGTTTCTTCGCGATGTTCCGTTATCGAGATTAGCTCTGCGAGCAACTGTTCGAGCTATTCCTCAGTCGTAAATTAGAAAGTGTTTTTGTTACAAATATGTATGTATACGGTCTTGTGCGGAACGGGAGAAGTGAAACTGCTGCCAGTAAACATTATAAATCACCGACTAATCGTACGTTAACGACTTAATTTTGCATGGCTATTAATAGCTTCCTCCAAAATATGTTCTTTCACAGGGATCCACTATGGGCAGCTATTTGAACAGGTGCCACTCGTAGTTACGATTTGGCGGCGGCATTCAGTCGGTGAGATTTATCGTTCAATAAAAATCTTGCATTCCGCCGCCTAAGAGTGCTACTGAACGATTGTAAAATCGAGGTGCGAGAGTTAACATTATTTAAACATTCTAATATTTGG